TTCATTTTGTCATATTTTTTTCTTTTCCCTTATTACCTTTCCCCTACCCTTCCCATTTTCCCTGCACCTTTAGCCCTTTTCTTCCTATTTCATATTGTCAGTTATGTCATTAGGACCTTATGTACTATTATAGTTTTTCACACCAGAGAAACTATTCAGTATTTACACATGTGTGACTTATTTATTTCACTTAGGCATATATCCTCAATAATATGTTGTTGTCCATTTCTAACACAGGATTTCACAATGATAAGAAGGAAAAATTAGATCTAACAGGTAGTAAGATAAGAAAATTGTTGGGCACAGTAATAGGGCAGCAAGTTGGACACTTTCATATAAGTTGTCCTAATGAACGAGCTGTAGTTTTAAAAATATTTTTATGTATTTATGAACTTAACATTTATGAAGATTTTTAAAAATTTTTCAGTATTATTATAGCTGCGTTAATGTTGAGACTTGGGTTTAGAAAAGTGGTTATTGGCCCTGCCACATACTATAGTCCCCTGAGGAGCTTTTGTTCTGGAGCAAAAAGTGTGGTCCTGGATGCAGTATGACCCAAGTAGATCCTTACCTTTTGGGTCAGAAGTGGGAGACTTATAATAAGGGCAGGAAAAAAAAGACTACACTGTACTTCAATTTGGAATGTACTTGTTTCATCTCAAGCCAGTATCAAAAGATGTGCGTTACATTTCAAGTGTTGGTGGCAAAGTCCCTTATACTGCCTGACTGGGTTTGCTTTTTATGGTATACTGGGAAACATGGTCGGACAGCCAACCAGGTTGACTCAGGGGCAGTCATGGCAGCTAAGATTAAAACTGGCTGCTGTCAGATAAAGCTGAATCCACACTTTTAAAATATCATTGTAAAGGCCCCATGCCAGACCAGTGAGGATAGTCTTTGATCCCATCCCTGCAAGTAGAGTGCTGAATTAGAGAATGTGTTATGTTTGTTGATTTAAAATGTATTAAATTAAGTTTAAAATGTATTAAAATGTTGATTTTAAAATGTACTAAACA